ATACATATATATGTATTTAAAATAAATGGATGTTTGCTGAAAACCAGGCTGTTAGGTTTCTGTGCACAACCAGCCATCAAAGCCAAGAGACTCATCCTGCCATTTGCTGCCATCTAGACCTCAGGCTCCACTTAGGTGCAGGCTGGGAGAGCCCTCACTGTCGGCTCCAGTGTCACGAGCATGCTGATGCTTTGAAGGTTCCAGGCCAGCGCTTGCTTGAATGCCTTCTGTGTGGTCTGGGTGATGCATCCTCATTAGATGCCATCTGTGCCCTTGGCATGTTGGTGGCTCAGCTTCTGTTGCCACCACTGCTGCTACCACTCACTGTGGTGTGCTGTTGTGGCTGATACTGCAGACTTCCCATGCAGCGAAGCTGCTTCCTTTTCCCTTATATTATGTAGCTCATAGGAAGGTATTTTGAAATCGGAGACACACTATTTCTCTTTAAGTTCATTTCCATTATTATCACTGATGTTCAGATTACCCCAGATCGGGCCAGAGGGAGCCTCTTCAAGCTGGTCTTCTGTCCCGACAATACTCTTCACCTTACGTAAGCGGAAGGTTCTGAAGCTTGATGGCCTTGGTTACCTACTTTTTTCTCTCTTCACTTTTCACTCAGTGTGATTCTATAAAAATTTTGAGGTTAGTAACTAACAGATTCATCCTGGAGAGGGTTAAACCAGGCTACTCCTTGGAGGCAAGGATTCTGGGGCTTCATCTGACATACTTTGGACATGTTGTAAGGAGAGACAGGTCCTTGGAGAGGGACATCATGCTTGGGAGGGTGGAGGGACAGCGCAGGAGGGGAAGGCCCTCTATGAGGTGGATTGATTCAGTCACTGGGGTAATCGCAATGGGTGTGTCAGAGGCAATGCGACTGGCACAGGATAGAGCAGGGTTTAGGACTGTTGTACATAGGGTCGCTGTGAGTTGCAAATGACTCGATGGCACATAACAACAACATTAAGAATATATAGTTTATGATGTTCTGTACTGTCAGTGATCATGACCTATAGCTGACCCTCCAGCACGTTTTTGGGGGCAGTAAATTGCATGGAAGATTACTTGCCCATCTTGTCTTCTGCAGAGCGAGTTGTTTGGAACCATGTTGCTTTGGGTTGGCAGTGCAGCTCCTTACAACTAGGCCACCAGAGGCCTTGTATAGTTGATAAAACAGGGGAAGAGCAAAGCTATTCTGACAAGAAAAGTCACTAGAGAGAGTCATGGAAAAATGTGGGCATCTACGCAGACTCTTATACTGTCCCATGTAAGAGAGTAAACCGAGAAATGTGGACATGTACAGAAAAGAAAGCCAGGTTGAGAGATTACTAAGAATGAACAGAAACCGGAAGTGTGGGGTGGAGTGTCTTCTTGTTATGTGCCATCTAGTTGCTTGCAACTCATAATGACCTTATGTGCAGTAGCCTTAAAACCTGTTCTATCCTGGGCCAACTTTATTGTCTCTGACACACCTTCCCTCATTACCCCAGTCACTAAACCAGTCAGTCTCATCAAGGGTCCTGTCTCTTGTGCTGTCCCTCCACCCTCCCAAACATGACATCCCTCTTCAAGAACTGGTCCCTCCTTGCAACATGCCTAAAGTATGTCAGACGAAGCCTCAGAATCCTTGCTTCCAAGGAGCAGCCTGGTTTCACCCTCTCCGGGATGAACTTGTTTGTTCTCCTAGCAGTCCATGGTATATTCAACACTCTTCTCCAGCACCACAGCTCAAAGGCATCAATTCTCCTATCATCCCTAGTCACTGTCCAGCTTTCTGATGCATAGCAAGTAATTCTGAAGACTATGGCCTGGATCAAACGCACTTTAGTCTCCAAACTGATGTTGTCACTTTCCAGTACTCTGGAGAGGTCCCTGACAGCAATCTTACATAGTTATTAAAAAGTGATAGTGGTGTCATGTACCATCAAATCAGAACTAACTCCTAGTTGACTCTGCAGCAGGTTTTCTGAAACTATAAATTGCACAGAATAATATTGCTCCACCTTTTTCCCAAGGAACAGCTGGTGAATTTGAACCACTTGTCTTTGGATTGGCAGCCCAACGCCTTACCACTAAGCCATTAGAGCTTTTTCATTAAATAGGAGTTGTACATCGTTGAGTGAGAACCAACCCATGGCTGACCCTCCAGCAAGTTTTCAGAGACAGGTAGGCACCTAGGAGGAGACTGCCTGTCCTCCCACAGAGCAGCTGGTGAATTAAAATTAAGTGCCATAGTGTTGGCCACACAGTTCCTTACCACTAAGCCACCAGAGCTCTTGCATATGCATAGTATCTGGAAATAGGTGATGGCTGAATAAAGTTTTGGATAAAACTAATGCCACTGGATGGTACATTTAAAAGTAGATGGTATGGTAGCTTTACCATGTTAACTTGTTTCTTGGGGGGGCCTTGGTAGCTTAGTCACAAAGCAACAAGCTGAGTGATAGATCAGGCCTTACTGTGTGGCGCAGGGGCTGGCCACTCCATTTTCTAGGGGGGGAGTCTAAACTGGTCTGCAGCTGTACAATTCCTTTGTGAAAGTCATTGTTCAGAAGCATCTGGAATAGTATTCTCTGCTGTGGCGTTGAAAGATTCCACATTCTCTTTTAAAGCACTTGATGCTGAGTGTTAATCAAGTGGCTGACGGGCTAACGCAGAAAGTTCCTGCCTGAGATGGTGTGTGTGACTCCATGGCTCATGTTTCCACAGTACCCATCCCCTTGTTTAGTAATAAAATATGGTAAGTTGGAGGTGGGTTCAGAGCCGCCCATTGCCTCCCTTGGTCTCTCACTGCTGGATGTGCACCTGATAAGGCTCATGAACAGAGTTGAGGGGAGCGTTGTGCTCCTACAAAGCCATACTTAATGTCATCTTTTCTATTCCTGTTCCGAGCATCCCTGTAGGACAGAACTACCCATGGGGTGTGAGGTGTGATCTTCCCAGTAGCCATCTGCAAGCTTCCCACAGAGCAGCCGGTCGATTCCACATGTTGACTTAAGGGTTAGCAATTGGAACCTTCAACCACTGTACCATGAGGGCCCTTTGCCATTGTTAGCTTGGCCCGAGCACTTTAGCCTGCGAGTAAAGATTGAAAATGTCCGGAAGAAGCCACAACATAATCACAAAGAAAACAAAAAAGCTGCTTGCAGCTCTCACCTTTGTAATTCTCAGCAACCCTGTCAGCAACAGATAAAAACCTCACCTTGCCCCACACCCTGGTCAAGCCCGCTGGTGCACTCACTGTGTCAGTGCATCTTGTGGAGGATGATTTTCTTCAAGCAGAATCCTCTGCCTTTTCCAGCATGTTGACTTTTTCAAAGGACTGGGCTCTCCTGACAACATGCCCACAGTTTGTGATATGGAGTTCTGCCATCCTTGCATCCAAAGAACACTTTGGTTGCACCTTCTTCAAGACAGACTGGTTCTTTTGGCAGCCCATGAAATATCCCATACTCTTCTCCAACCCTGCAATTCAAAGCCATCAATTCTTTTGTCATCCTTACTGTCCAGCTCTCCGATCCATATGAAGTCATTAAAAATAGTGTAGAATCAATCAGGTACATCAAGAAGAGTAATACTTGGACACATCTAGATGTCAGACCTACTATTCCTCAGAGACAGTGAATAAGAATGACAGAAGAATTGATGTGGCACTGGAGAGAACAAACAGGTGTGTCTTGGAGAGAGTGCAACCAGAGAGCTCCTTGACGGCAAAGATGGCAAAGCTTTCTCTTCATACCTTGGACATGTAGCTAGGCTCTTGGAAAAGGACGGCATGTATGAACAGATGGGGGGAGGTGTCAGCAAATGAGAGAAAGACTACAAGATGGATTGACTGACCAGCAGTGAGCTCTACTGTGTCAAAGATGAGGATGGCTCAGGATGAGGTCAGAGGTGATGAGGACAGGGTTCTGATTGGCTGTTCAAAGCGTTGCTGAGTTATACTTGACGATACCTAACAGCTGCAACCTAAGTTAGATGCTGTAGAATGTAACCACTTTGTACCAGATGGCTGGCAGGCCAGGCTGCAATCAGGTAGTGTGAAGGCTCACCTTGGCCTTCCAACAGATGACCTAGCTACTGACTTGGCCTTGTTTTCAAAGAGAATTGATGTTTCCCAACTGTAAGTGCACCCTGGCTTGTGTACCTTTCCCAGCCCTGCCCAATAGCGGCAACAGGCATGTCCCAAGCATTGTCGGGAAACATGAATGCTGTCACCAACCCAGAGGGGGGCTCAGAAACTAGCCACCTACATGCACGCTCAGACAAGCAGGATGGTTGTTCACTGCTGATATAATAGGTCTTTGAATGGGTTCTCTCTCTAGAAAAGCAGAACTAGTGAAGTAGTAGAGCTTGCCTACTACACATCAGAATTGATGCTGCCTTCTGTCATTCTTACTCATTCTTCAGTCATCCTTAGATGAGGACGGCAGGGTTCAAATTGACTGCTCATAGGGTTGCTATGCGTCATCACCCAGCACCACCAATCTCAAGCACCTAACAATGTCAAGGAAGAGGCTGGCTTACTTGTGGAGGCTCCTGATAGTAGTGGCAGGTGTGTGAAAGAACCTGAGATTAGCAAGTCAGGCAGCAGCTTAAAAACCCAAAATACACTGGCAATGTGGCGATTGCCATGGTGAGCCAGGTGCAGGTTCCTGATCAAGTAAAAAATTTGCCAGCGTATCCAGATACAGTCTGTACCCTTGAGGAAACGCCTC